AAAAAGTAGAAATAGTAAGAAATGTATAGTAGTCAAAAGTAGTTCAGTTAATAATGAGCAATAACTAACTTATTGTAGTTGATGCAAAATCAGCAGTATCTATTCCCAACACATTAACAGCAGCCACTCCAACAGTATATACTGATCCTACTGTAGCATCAGGTATACTGTATGTAGTGGTAGGAGCTAGTATTGTTATATTAGTATCAGGATCAGGAACATTATGATATATTATGTAACTCAATAAAGGGAGAAACATAAGGACTGGTGGCTATAAAAAAGTATAAATTATTAGTTAATAATTTTTTTACTTCATCCCATGACACATCAATACTGAGACCAGTCTGATTTAATGTTAAGTTAGTTACAGATTCAGGGACTATTAATAAATATTTATTATAACAAAATTAATAATAATATGAATCACCATTAATCTATTTACCATTAGGTACAAATGTTCTTTCATCAACAGGATCCATATATCTACCACCAGTATCAACAGCTACTACACTAATAGAATAGTTTGTATCATTAGTTGAAGGTACTGGTAAACTCAGACTAGTATCAGTAGTATTGATAGTGTATTCAATACTAGTAACATTAACATTGTAATGAGATAAACAAGGACTGGTTGATGGGGACCAGGAGAAGTGGAGCCTGTCAGAATAAAATGTGATATTACCAGGAATACGAACAGATGGGACATCTGTAAAGAAATAACTACAAGTTAAAATAGTGCAGCAGATGACATACCCGCTATTATTATAGAACAGTTCCCAAATGTACCAGTAGCATCTCCACATTGGACAGTATAATTACTGATACTTAAAGTAGGAGTGAATGTTATATTAGAAACAAGAGAAGAACCACCAACAGTCAAGACAGTAATAAACTGACCACCAATAGATTCAGTATCACCAACATTATCTACAAACTCAGAATAAGCTACACCACCAACACTAACACCATTAGTATCTAGTACTCTCCATATAAGAGTATTTGATCCACTGTTACACTCATAAGTAACTGGTCGAGAGAGACACAGTGGACCACTGGGACATGTAGTGAACTGAGGTTGGCCTATATTTAAAAAATGAGCTTATAGCTTTAATGATTTCCTGCTATTACCATCAAGATAGTTAAATAACAACATAAAAGACAGGAAAGATACAATCATCTCCATTATATTGCTGTTGAGATATGATGTGTCTTATATTGTCTACTGTCCACACTAGTACAAAAAGATATAGGACAGTTAGTGAACTCTCCTGGTGTACCTAAAATAATATCAGTAGATACTTTAACCAGTGGCATAGCCAGGGGCAGGCCTGGGCAGATAAAGGCCCACCCTAAATTTATCAGTGCACCATAAAATGGCTTTTATAGATAGAGAAAAAAGAGCTTTGAGCACACAAGTCCAATAAAATAAGTCATAGTGCCCCACCCTCACTTCATCAGCTGGCTACACCTCTGACTTTAACATAAAAATATAACTTACACTTAAACAAGTAAACAAGACAATAACTAACTTCAGTGGGTGGTGACAGTGATGAATTGAAGATAAAGCAATGTCAATGAAATTCATGCTGTATCTGTTTACATAACTGGACTGTTGTCTTGACAAATTTTCACGACACAACAAAATTAAATAAAAATTGGCATTATAAAGAATAGTGTTCTATTGTCATCTTCAAAAACTACAGCACTTAAGTAAAAATTATGCTGTTGATTGATTAGTAACATAGTAACATTGTAAGATTTTACAGCTAGATTTTAATATAATCATCACCTTGTCATACATGTACTTACTGCAGTCATGAATATTGCAGTATACAATCATAATTGGACTTTTTTACGATTTAAAATAATTACTTCAAAATTTTGTCACAAGGCTATTATAGTCCAAATTTTGTCAACAATGGGTCCAAATTTTTTTATAATTTTTTTGATAGATATACATGTCCTTATGTTGTATATAAAGTTTGAACCAATTCCAATCAAAATTGGATTTTTTATAAATTTTTTAAGTTACTTCAAAATTCAGCCAAAAACCCTAGGCTATATATAGCCTTTGGTCATTGGCCAAATTTTGTCAAAAATTGCTCCAAAACAATTCTAGATTTTTATCATTTTTTTTTCTGTAGATATACATGTTTTTATGTTATTTATCAAGTTTAAAGTGATATCAATCAAATCTGGATTTTTTTATAAATTTTTAAAGTTGCTTAAAAATAGCCATGAGCTGTATTAATAGTACAGAGTATTCCATCAAAAATCGCTCCATAAAAATTTTTATTTTTATTATGTTATAGTATAGATTTTTTAAACTATAAAAACTAATTTAAAAATAAGAAAATAAAAACAATTGGTCTACAATTCTACAGTTTTCAAAACAATAATTAATGATTGGTAGAGTAAGAATTAATGTCACTAAAAATAGCAAACACATTCCATTATTGTAGTGCTTCATATACAACAGTATCAGGTTGCCTTAACATTATCTGAAGTATGTACTACTCCTCTACTACCAGTGGCTGTTCCATAAGCTGCATTCATACTAACTGGTACATTAGGAACCGCCTGTACTGTATCAGCTGGTGCATCATATATTACTGTATTGGTGGTAGTGTTTTCTATATGAGATATTGCAGCTGTACTTTACATAAGTGAGTAGAACTAACCTTTCTCTCTTTTCCAAGGTTTACACCAGATCATACAACCAACAATAATGAGTATTAGTATAATAATGGCAATCACTGCTACACCAGCTCCTATACCATGTACACTGTACTGTTTGTTTCACCTCCACCTGAATGAATTTAACAAAATAATAATGATGTTATTAATTATTATTTAATAAGTATACTAGTGTCATCTGTTGGTGCTGAGGATGTGCTTGGTGTCACTGATGGTTCAATAAAGCTGCCAGACAAACCTAACAGTGTCATTCATTAGGTATATGTATTGAATAGTTATAAGTATATTTATGATGCATACTTGAACTAGAGGGTGTAATAGCTGAAGATGACACCATTATACTTGAAGAGGTAGGAACAAAAGTATTAATGATGCCTGAAGGAAATTTTAACAATTTTAAATATTAACAATAACTAACTAATTGTAGCTGATGTTGTAAGACCAGTTCCTAATACATTAACAGCAGCCACTTCAACAGTATATACTGATCCTACTGTAGCATCAGGTATATTGTATGTAGTGGTAGAAGCTAATATCATTGTACTAGTATCAAATTCAGTGACATTATCAGTGACACTTATTATATAAGTCAATATTTCAGGACGAAGAGAATCAGTTGGCTATAAATCAAAATTATTTTCATTATTATTGATATTTAAGCTACTTGCTTCACTCCATGATACGTCAATATTGAGACTAGATCTAGTCTGATTTAATGTTAAGTTAGTTACAGATTCAGGAACTATTAATAAATAATATTAATAAATAAACATACTCTCATTATTACTTACTATCAATTATAAGCATTATTTCATCATCAGGATCCCTGTACTGTCTACCAACAGTATCAACAGCTGCTACACTAATAGTATATACTGTATCATCAAATGGTTGAGATATATTTACAACCAGACCAGTATCAGCTGGTACATTTTTAAAGGAACTGTTACCAACTGGACTATTAATAAAAACAGTGTAACTGATGATACAACGATTGGTTGATGGTGGCCAGGAGATGGTATAATTGTCAGGATTAATTGCTGATATATTAGGAGCAACAGTAGGCTGATATAGTTCACCTAAAAACAACAACATAGAATAAAAAATAATTAGTTTAAATATTTGGCACTACATTGACAAAATTACATACCTTCAATCAGTATTATATATAGGACAGGTATCAGCTCCTATAACTGCAGGAGTGTTAGTATCAAGTGCTCTACATGCCACAGTATAATTATTGATATCCATTGTAGCAGTGAATGTTATATTAGAGACAATAGAAGCACCACCAGTAGAAGTTAGGCTAGTAGTGAATTGAGTTCCAATTGATCCTAGGGTTCCTATACTAGCTCCTGTGTCATACGTAACAACACCAAGTATACCACCAGTAGTATTCAATACTCTCCATTGTACAGCATTAGCTCCACCAGATGTGTCCACACTACACTGGTAACTAACTGGTTCATTAATACATAAAGGACTTGTAGGACAGTTAGTGAACTCAGGTGTGCCTAAAATATAATATAATAATATGAAGGCTTCATGGAAATAAACTTACACTTTACTAGTGAACAAGACAAAAACATCATAGTCAGGAAAAGCTTCATATTGTTGTGGGTGGTGGCTAAAAAATTCATGACTGTAAACTATTAGACTACTATTGACATGCAAGAATGCCAGCTATGACTACACATGCCAAGATAAACTGATATGTTATGCATGCAGCACTCCCTCAATATCTACAGGTCTTAAGTTAAATAGCAACAAATTTTCATTAATTTATTGAAGATGAGATTTGTGAATGATTGATAAAGGAGAAAGATTATACTGAATATAACAATGTTTATGCTGTAACAGTACTGTAAACATAGCATTATTTAACCCAGCGTAATTAAATAAAACAAAACATGCAATTATAAAACAATATTGAACTACTGTATAGTATAAATCATGGAAGTATCCATTAGTAGCATGAATTATACATACATAGAAGATAACAATTGTTAGCAATTACAGTATCATCAATATGATACATTCCCTACAGAGCATATCCACAAGTGCAGCGACAAATTCTTTGATACTGAGCTCTCCAACACAATCCAGTTTTGACAAGTAGCTTGCAAAAATTTGACTCATTACATGCTATAAATAAAAATACAAAAAGTTGTGATCAAATAATAATAAATCCCTTAATATGAAATTAAGCGCTAGATATAAGAGTCTTTATCTTAGAAATCAAGTAATAATGTTATCAATCACTTATTGCATAACAACCATCTATTGTAAGTTGATGGAATATTACAATACATGTACATGTACTTACGGCAGTCATGAATGTTACAGTATCTAAAGACATGAGGACGTGCTGTCAAACACTTTGCATCATTTAATGTGATACTACTATCATATGTTGCTTGACATTTGATCCTGCGAACTTGATAACCAACTCCACAAGACTTTGAACACTATTCAAATTTTAAAAATAGTACTTTAAAAACATCAGGACAAAGACTCTTATCTTTAAAAAATTATAAACAGAATTATTAGGCATATGATTTGTTAGTGTTAAAAGTGTTTACCTTTGACCAAGGTCCAGGTACCCATTGTGTGCAGGGTCCTCTTTGATGACATGTTTCTTCATTTGGAGGTGGAGGAGGAATACAACCATCCATTATCATACGAGTAGACACTGTCATACAAACTACTGTTCTGTTCCTTATACCACGATGACAGTCAGGAAAACACTAGAAATGTACAATTGTAATAACTCACTGTCACAGCATATAGGTTGGGCATTATAATTATTATCTATTCTTTTCATTTGTAGCTATGTGTGTGTGTGTGTGTATGTCAGTAATGTACACATACTTGACTCCATGGAGATACTGACCATGATTTTTCCTCGAAAGGTTTGTCTATAAAATGTAAATGTTATTTCAAAACATAGTCTGTATATGTATCATATTCAAACATACCTTTTATCAATGTTATAGAACAAGTATCAGCTCCTATAACTGCAGGAAAGTTAGCATCAAATGCTCTACATTCCACAGTATAATTATTGATATCCATTGTAGCAATAAATGTTACATTAGAGACAATAGAACCACCAGCTCTAGAAGTTAGGTTAGTAGTAAATCGAGTTCCAATTGATCCCAGGCTTCCCACACTAGATCCTGAAGTATACAAAACAAACCCAAGTACACGACCAGTAGTATTTAATACTCTCCATTGTAAAGCATTAGCTGAATCAGAAGTGTCTACCCTACACTGATAACTAACTGGTTCATTAATACATAAAGGACTTGTAGGACAGTTAGTAAAATCTGCTGGTGTACCTAAATATAAATAAAGATAAAATAAAGAAGACTTTATGATGATACAGCTTACATTTTACAAGTGAACAAGACAACAATATCATAAATATCAGGAAAAGCTCCATTGCTGGGTGGTGCAATGATATATTCATGAACAGTTTATTATAATCATAAATGGTTGCATAGACGTATATTTTGCTGATGTGGACAACTCTTATCATGGCAATATTTGTGAAAGTTAAACTAAAGCAAAATTTTTAACAAAACTAATGCTACATACAAATTGAAATTAAAAGGACATATTATTTTCAAACTCAAGAATTAAGTAAAACACAAAATTATGAAAGGAATAACTATTATGCATGCATGCATAAACAAAAACAATTCCATGCATTAATTAGTAGTTTATGATTGAACAGTTTCATAAACTGTTGGTGTTGTTCCACTGGTAGATCTATTACCAGCACTAACATGACCATACGCCATATTATCCTTCATCTCAAGTGAACTGGTTTTCATTGGTATCTCATAATCAGCAGCTGCTGTTGATGGATTAGTAACACTGTAAGACTTTACTGATCTTGATACACAACAGCAATAAGTGATGATAGAAGATAAAACTGATGATATTATTACTGACAGTATAACAGTGATAGGGAAACTGATAGCTAATACACTAATAATATTACTACCTAATGATTACATAATAACATGCATTAAAATTATTTGTTCTGCTTACATTGTTCAGTAGTAGGAGTACATGTACTTGTGGGAGTAGGTGAAGTTATTCTTGTTGATGATATACTCACTACATAAAATAAATGAGGCACTTAATAATCATAGCTTACAGGAAGGTAATGT